GGCTTCATTTTTCTTCTTCTTCGGAAGTCGGCAATCTGACGCGCTCTGTGACCCATCTTGTCACAGTTAAAGCATTTTTCTTGGAATTTTTGCTTCTTGCCCATTCCGCCTTTAGGTCCTAGCTTGGACCTTTTCTTTGACTTGTTCTTCTTAGCCTTGGAGCTTTGATCATGCTCCACAATATTTGCTTTTGCCCCAGACGTACTAGACGTGGCTCCTGCCTTTTTAGCACATCTGTTGTCTTCTTTAATGCGGAGCCTAATAACAAGGTCTTCAAGGCTCATAGCCTTCCGCTTGTGCTTTAGGTAGCTCTTGAAATCCTTCCATGAAGGAGGTAGCTTCTCAATAATAGTAGCTACTTGGAAGGGTTCACAGAGAGCCATCTCTTCTGCCTGAATCTCATGGAGAATCAATTGAAACTCCTGAACTTGACTGATTACAGTTTTTGAGTCGACCATTTTATAATCGAGGAAGCGTCCCACCACAAATTTCTTGGAACCAGCATCCTCAGTTGTATATTTATGGTCTAGTGACTCCCACAGTTCCATTGTCGTTTTCTTATTACGATATACACTATATAATGAATCGGTCAAACTATTCATTACATAGTTTCGGCACAGGTAGTCAGATTGTTTCCAAGCATCCACCGCAGCAAGAACTTGGAAATCTTGCTCATCTTCTCTGACTTTTGGAGCCTCTTCAGTCAAGAACCTCGCAAGGTTCAATGTGGTCAGATAAAATAACATTTTTTGCTGCCACATTTTGAAATTCAACCCATTGAACTTCTCAGGCTTCTCTCCATGGTGCGCCGCTGGTACCATTGGAGTCATAAGAGGATTTGGCCCTCGAGCCACAGCAGGGACAGGCACTGCAGGTGCCATAGCAGGCTGTTGAGAACTAGTCGTGTTCTCGGCATTGACAACATCAGCATTGTTGTTCGCCATCTCTGAAATTAATCAATCAAAGATTATTAATTTTAGTACAAACTAGTTCCCAGGAAAAGCCGGAGGGTTCACAAACAGGTCTCACTTAAAATCCCGCCTCCTAGATAGAATTTCAAAGAAATTCCCAGGAAAGACGTGGAGGGGTCACAGTTGCTTCCTCTTCAAACTTGGTCTCCTTAGACAGAACACAAATTCTTCTCCACAAGAATTCCACACCAAGAGTGATAGTAATAGCAAAGCAGCAGAGCAATATATATATTCAAACTTACTATGGTCCAAGTTTCGACCCGACATTCGTGTCCGCAGGTGCGGGCACACACGAGCCCATGCAAATTCAGGCCCAAACCTGAAGATTTGCACCCCTCCATGCGCGCGCCTGAGAGAGCATCTGTGATAGTTATTCTTACCACCATTACAAAATAAGGTTCTTTATAAACTACTTGAATCAAACATCTCCCACCAATGTGGGACTCTCATTTTTTTTCTTTCATTTTTCCATTTCAATGGTGCACTTTTGAGCAACTATTTCTCATTCATCCGTGCACCATTTTGAGTGTGTGAATATACGAAATCGATGTCCTCGCAGAGGAGAACAAGAATTCACTCAGACCTTTCATCAACAAGATGTGGGTCCCACTCAATTTTTAGCTTCAAAATGGTTCATGAAAATGAGTTCTATAACACAAAAATTGGACTTCTCAATATACATAGGCTTCCAAGCCCAAGATAAGCCCAAAGTCTTAACCCAATTCTTAGCCCATTTTCTAATAAACTCTTTGCTCTTTACTCTTTCAAATCACTTATACTAAATTGGCTATAGTGATACTATGATAGTGATTGAAGGACTTGCACCAAATAGGACAGCTAACATCCTTTTGGTAAGAAAAGGCTTTAATAATGTTATTATCGGAAGCGTGTAGCTAGTTGAGTCCTCGATCAAACCAATAGTCTAGGAATCATCTTTGTGTCTCACATTCGTTGTAGAAAGACTCCTTCTTGAATAATCGCGGTAAGTGGTGTTATAAGAACAACTACTACAACTTTCATCACTCATGAGCACTCACTGGAATTCTAGTAAAAAGAGAGAGACAGCGTACTTTCTGTTCTGCAAATTTTCTGTTCTGCAAATTTTCAGACTCTCTGAATAATAATATTAAGAGAAAGTGTATATATTTTTTTCTATTCAAATAAGGATATTTCCTTATTCCTTAAAAAATAGGAAATATTCCGTAATTAATAGAAACTAATCAAATATTAAATGCGTTGATTCATATATCATATCACATAAACCAAATATGGTCTAAATATATCTTGATAAGATATGTACTATTAACTTCCAATATTCTATTTAAAGATATAATATATGAAAATAAAGCGTCATTATATTGACTATTTCTAATTTATATTAGTCCACATATATTGGGCCATACTTCATTATGGGCACCAAATAAGACTTTGGGTCACAAAGTTCAACAAGTATTATAAACAAAAAAGAGAAATTTATACTTAAAACCCGTTTTTATAACTTATTTTTATAAATGCTCGTTTTTAATTTTCTTTCAAAAATATCCATTTTTATAGTACACATTTTATGTACAAAATATGAGTGGTATATATTTATAATGTAAATTTTTACCCATGCGGTATATGTTTACAATATAAATATTTACCATGGTTTATATTTTTCATTATAAATTTGATCTATGGTATACATTTTGAAATATGTGCCAATTTTTAGTATAATTTTTATTCATGAAATGTTTATCACGGTATATACTTGATGTATGAAACTTGTATAATGTTATATATTTCATATGTAAAATACTGATAGTCTACATTTCTGACAAAATACGGGTATTCATGAAATAAAAATAAAAAATGGGTATTAATAAAAATATAGTTTTAAAAATGGGTATTTATAAACTTTTTTGAAGAAAAAAACTTCATTGTCAAATCACTTTACAACGTTACATAAAAATCAATGCACTCATTCTTGATTGAAATAAGCAAAAACGTGGATATATATATATATATATATATATATATATACACGCATATATATATATAAGTGATACTAATTCAGTAAATATTTTTTTTACCATGGATATTATTTTACCCAATTAAAATTCATCTTATACGTCTTTTCATGATAAAAGATAATGTATCTTTTTTGTGTCATGAGAAAAATATTAAATAATATATCATGAGAAAAATATTAAATAATGTGTCTTTATTGTTATTATATATTTTTTTCTAACTATTCAAATTATAATAACCGTTAGATGATAATCCAATAGTTAAAAAAAAACCTATAGATAAGTTAAAAAAAAAAAATCTACGGCTCTTAATTAAATATATATTTATATATATATTTTTGTACTCTGGTCGAAAATGTTCGGTCGAGGTTGAACACTTATAACTCGTTTCGACACTATTAGACCGGTTAAAATGTTCAATTGGGACCAATCATTGCATTTCCTTGTACATGGGTACTCAAACACTTACAGATGAATGAGAAAGTCCTTTAGTTTTCTACTTAACTCGGTCCTTCAATAGAAAGGATTAAGGTCAGGGTGCTCTGGGTTTCCCATATTTCTTTAAAAGAAGACATTTTTAATGGTTCATAAATTATTTTATTTTTCACCATGGCTCATCAAATAAGTTGAAAAACGATAGTGCCTCGAAGTGACTAATATTCATCCACATAAAATCTTTCTTATCCAGAATCCACCGGTATATACACAAAAATAATTAAAAAGAAAACAAAATTTACATAGATATTAAATCACATTGATGAAAAAAAAAAATATCATAGTCATATGCTTAGTTTGATTGATAACTATATTTTACCTCCAATGTCCTTTGCTCAGGATAAATTTTAATTTTCATTCATCAACTTCTTCGGATTGCATTAATAAAGTGGAAGTTATCCAAATCTAAAAGTTCTTATATTGTAATGTAAAATAGAAAAGCAAATATTGATTATGAATTTTCCCTTATAAAATTGGTTAATAAAGATTTAAGAATAATGATGAAAAATTCATTCAAAATTATTATAATTATAATTGTTATTATCACTATAATAATAATAATAATTATTATTATTATTATTATTATTATTATTATTAATTTTTTAAGCTTATTATTATTAATAATTTTTTAAGAAAAATTATTATTATTATTATTATTATTATCCGAGAAGATACATACATTAACTTTGATTTTTTGTAACGCATAATTATTTTTGGTGTGAGGTTGCAACTTTTTTTCCCCTTTAATTTTTGGTTTTTCAGAAATTACAATACTTTGATTAAGCTATCCGAACAAACACTAGAGTTTTTTCATGTACTACTTTTACCACATTGCCCTCGTACCTCAAGCATAGATTTTTTTTTTTTTTTTTTTTTTGAAAGGCTCAGGCATAGTAATTTGGCAAAACACAAATACATAAAATAAATGAATAATATCACCTCTATACCTTGTATTTTGATACTTTGTTTAATTTGTACTTGTATTTTGATTATTATTAATATTGATTTTTAGATTTAATATTTGTTAAAAATTTATACTCTGACAACAATTTAGAGTAGTTAATTATCAAGATGATTTAATATACTTATTATCGGATGAGTTTTTATATAATAAATTTTCAATTTTTTAAATGAGATTTTGGTAAATGAACTATTCTAAATTGGTGTCCGCGTATAAATTTTTAATAAATTTTAAATCTAAATGTTAATATTGATAATAACTAAAATATAAAGTACAATTTGAATAAAATGTTAAAATACACAGCATAAAAGCGATATTATCCCTAAAATAAATAAAAGCTGAAAAAATTCTTGACCTCACATCACATGGAAGATTTTCTTTCGTAAAAAACTTTGCCTTTTCAAGTATTCAGAAGGTCATTGGACATTGATTTTGGTTGAAGTATATGAATAGAATGTTAGATACGCAGATACCGATATAGTCAGCCAGTGCCCAAAGATTTACTATTATATAGATGAAATTATCTCAACCAATTCTTATTTTTGCTGTGTCTTAACAAATTGCATGGCTACACAATTCGGTTCTTGTTCATTTACTTCTCCTCCTTCTTCCTCTTCTTCAACCTTCCTCGTTCCCTCTTCTTTCAAGAATGAGACGACCCTTTTCAGAGAATTCCCGAGAAACAAACATTTTCCCTCGTGGGTTTCTCAGATTGGTTCAAGAAATCTTGGAAGGAACCACTTTCGGCTCAAATCCTCAAATGGGCATCCACTAAATGCTGTTTCCTCCCATGATGGTTAGTTTTTTTTTTCCTTATATATGTGCATAGTCATCTGTGTGTGTGTGTATATTTAAATACAGTTATTATGATCCATAATGAAGTATCACTTTACCATTGTTCTCTGGTTTTCTGGTTTATCTTTCGCTTTTAGTAGGTTTGCGTTTAGTAGATTTGAAGTAAAGAATGTGAGGCTCTTTATGCTATATTTAATTACTTCAGGCTTTAAGCTTGGGATCTACTTTTTCATATTCTCGTTTTGTAATAAGCATTCTTTTCTTGCCTTGTTTATGTTCGAAGACGAACAGGACTTTAACTTTGTTCAACCTTGCAATGAAAAATCTTGAAATCTTTCCTTGCTGTATGAATGGAGAATGAACCAGTACAGAATTTGACTGTAGGGAATTATACTTGAATTGGCGTAACACATGTAAAAGGGAATGTTGTTGGAATTGGCATTATAGACACATAATTTCGTAACCATATAGTACGTAAGTGTGATCATTTGTATCGATTTTCAAAGACATATGGTAGAATGTGGTGTCCAACAAATGAAACTAATTATTTTTAGAGGCTTTAGTGTATTTTGGTTTCTCTACCCACCACTTTTAGATGTTGTCCTCTGGTTTGCTGTCTGCAATCTGTTATCTGTCTCATATATTATTAGACCTCTTTATATTACCATTTCTCAATCTTATACTGGGATTTGGAGAAGGTTTGGCAGCAAATCCTCTGGCCAAAGATTTTGCGGAGTCCGAAGGAAAAGGGGAACTTTTTCCCTTCTCAGAACAGGCAAATGGAGATTGTACTATAAGTATAACTGTTGTTGGAGCTTCTGGAGACCTTGCCAAAAAGAAGATTTTTCCGGCACTTTTTGCCCTTTACTACGAAGATTTTCTCCCCAAGGTTCTAGTTTGTGTCTCTTACTTATCATCACATTGCAATGGGATCCTTATGTCGAATATGTTTACATTCTAGGAAATGACTGACCTCTAGAGCTTTTTATGATTTTATTGGCCTTTTGGCAGAACTTTATTGTGTTTGGCTATGCTCGGACTAAAATGAGTGATGATGAACTAAGGAGTATGGTGAGCAAAACTTTAACTTGCAGAATTGATAAGAGGTAATTCAGTTTGCAGATGCAGCCACATTATATTCTTTTCATTTGTATGGAATTGATATATGCTAGGATTTTCAGGGAGAATTGTGAGGACAAGATGGATGAATTCTTGAAAAGATGCTTTTACCATTCTGGTCAGTATAATTCTGAGGAGGATTTTGTAGAACTAGACAACAAGCTAAAAGAGAAGGAGGTATTTAGACCCTAGTTTTCTCATATGTTTGCTATAAACTGTATTTTGTTATAAGCTGCTAAGCGCAGAAAAGTTATTTCAGATAAGCTGAGTTTATATTGGGGGCCAATGAGCCAATCTGTATCTGCAACTGAAAAATAAAAAAGACAAAAGTAACAAAACATAAAGCTAATCTTCCCACCCACTCCCTGTTTTAGAAAGGGGAAAAAATGATAAAAATTCCGAACTTAGAGCTTCCATGGCAATTACACAAGACTACGAGTAACAGAAACACATATGGCCTATGTTTCTTAATTATGTTGCTTTGGTTGAGAAAAACTAAGCTTTAAAGCCATGAGTATTCAGTAGTCTTCACTAATGCTCTTATTCAGGCTGGAAAAGTTGCACATAGGCTTTTTTACTTATCGATACCTCCAAACATATTTGTGGATGTGGTGAGATGTGCTAGTCTTAAAGCTTCTTCTGAAAGCGGGTGGACAAGGGTCATTGTTGAAAAGCCTTTTGGCCGTGACTCAGAATCATCTGGTGAACTAACCAGAAGTTTAAAGCAATACCTTGCTGAAGACCAGATATTCAGGTTTTTTTTTCTTCCTCGTAGTGTCTGAGAATTACATCTATGTGAGAGGAAAATTTTGATATGATCAATAGTTGTTCAGGATTGACCATTACTTGGGGAAGGAGCTTGTTGAAAATCTATCAGTGCTTCGCTTCTCAAATCTTGTTTTTGAGCCTCTCTGGTCCCGTAACTACATTCGCAATGTGCAACTAATATTTTCTGAAGATTTTGGTACAGAGGGACGTGGAGGGTGAGCTTCTTCCTTGACTTTTAGGAAGTATGGTTTATTCATGGCAAGAATTAAAAAAAAAAAAAAAAAAAATTCATCTGACTTTAGTTCATCTTCATTTCCAGATATTTTGATAACTATGGCATTATTCGTGACATAATGCAAAATCATCTACTGCAAATTCTAGCATTGTTTGCTATGGAAACGCCTGTCAGCTTAGATGCTGAAGACGTTCGGAATGAAAAGGTGCTGAAAGCTTCCTTCTCAGATCTCTTCACTGGCTAAATTATGGTTTCAGGATATTACTCTCCACATTAATCTATCAGAGTGCTATAAACTCTCATCATGAGCTGCTCTTTATATTCTAACCAGTAGTGATTGCCTTGTTTCAGGTAAAGGTTCTAAAGTCAATGAGACCGCTGCAGCTTGAGGATGTCGTTGTTGGTCAATACAAGGGTCACAGCAAGGGTAGTAAATCATATCCTGCTTATACAGATGATCCAACCGTTCCAAATGGAAGTCTTACACCAACGTTTGCGGCTGCCGCGCTCTTTATTGATAACGCCAGATGGGATGGAGTTCCATTCCTAATGAAGGCAGGCAAAGCTCTTCATACCAGGCGGTATGTTAAACTTATTGTTTCATCAACTCGAGCCCCTGTTTCCTTGTGTTCACCCATTTCTTAATTTGTCTAACAGAGCCGAGATCAGAGTTCAGTTCAGACATGTTCCGGGTAACTTGTATAAGCGGAACTTTGGAACTGATTTAGACAAGGCTACAAATGAACTTGTGCTTCGTGTACAGCCTGATGAAGCTATATATTTGAAGATCAACAACAAAGTTCCTGGTCTTGGAATGAGATTAGATCGCAGCGACCTGAATTTACTTTACCGAGCAAGGTACAATAACCTAAAGACATATTTCTTGAATATAGGTGGTTTTCCTTTACGTAGAACTTGAGTAAAAACTAGGAAAACCATCAAAAGTATTTCTCTAGTTACAGATTTTCTAACCTTCATTTCTTTACCTTCAGACAATGAAGCCAACTTTAAGCAAAAGAAATCCTATTTATGTTATCACAAGTCAAAAGAAGTACCAAAAAAACCATCACCTAAAATTAATTTCCCTTGAGACTATAATCTATGTTCTTAAGTTGTTTTTTCCTATGCATTATTCACTAAATGATCTTCTGATTAAGTCCAAAGGCACAACACCCGGAATAGTGCAGGAATATTCTTATGTTAAGGCATTAGAACACTTTGGTTCTTGTGTGAAGGTATCCAAGAGAAATACCAGATGCATATGAGAGGCTACTCTTAGATGCAATTGAAGGTGAACGAAGGTTGTTCATCAGAAGTGACGAGCTTGATGCCGCTTGGTCACTATTCACGCCACTGTTGAAGGAGCTCGAAGAAAAGAAGATTGCTCCTGAGCTCTACCCCTATGGCAGTCGAGGACCAATAGGAGCGCATTATCTTGCTGCAAAGCATAATGTTAGATGGGGAGATCTCGGTGGTGATGACTCTTGAATTGCTCTATTTTACTAATGTGGAATGTATTGACTCATTTTTAGCTGTTATATTCTTTTCCAAAATGTATAGTGAAAAATGATGTATTTGTCACGTGCTGAGAACCAAGATTTCCGTACAATATACATGTCCTGGAACAGATTTCATCGATTATAAACTTTAAAAAGAATAATGAACGCAAAATGAAGAATTCTTGTCAATCCGAAGTCTTGTAGCAAAATTCTTCTCGTCATATTTGAGAGTCTCAAAGCAAAATGACTAAATTTTGAACTCATTTCAAGCAAATGTCCATTTTTAAAATGTTATAGTAAAATAATCAGTATATAAGTGTATATATTAAGTGTAAGGGCCATCTTGATATTGTTGTGCTGTGTCGTGGTTGTGTCATAGTTAGAGATGTCAATGTGGGCTGGGCTTTGTGGGCCGGCTCACATTCCGAAGAAAAAGTACGGTACCGGCCTGACCCAGGCCCATATTATGTGGAATTAGGCCGGCTCGTTACATATAATAGGGACCGGGCTGGGCCCTAGTCATAGGCCCACAGGCACGGCCTAGCATGGCCCACATTTAGTCTTTTTATATATAATTTTAAATATATTTTTTAATTAAATTTTAAAAAATCTTAGTTAAATATTTTCATTTATATGCTTTTAATGTTATTTATTTACTAATTTTTGTTTATTTTTAATTTATTCAAATTTTAAAAGAATATAAATAGGTTTTAGGCTCATATTTGATATTTTAAAGCATAGAATAACAACAAAATTAGACCCACATTGTGGCCCATATTCGGCCTGCATAGGCACAGCCCACTTAGGCTTGCATAAAATGTGAGTTGGGCCTGTGGGCCGTACCGAATCCCTTAATAAGAATATGGTAGCGGGCCGGGCCTAGGCACAGTACAAAACCCATATAGGCTTAGCCGGCCCAGCCCACTTTACATCTCTAGTCATAACTATGCTGTGAACAAGAAGTAACTGTGAAAAAAAAAAAGTCGTTTGGTAAATTTGATTTGCAATACTGTTGTGCTATTTAAAAGTAATATCTAGTATTTGATAAACTATAAATTATATATACTGTAAAATATTATTTTAAAATAATGTGTATTATGACAGCAGAATTATCTTTGAAAAATAACCCTTACTCTGCTTGCTTTAAATAGTGATTACACAGTAACTTTAAAATCCTATTGACTAAAAGCCATAACTGACTAAACTCCTCCAAACGCCTCACCCTCCTACTTGTTTCTCGTTTTTAAAAATTAAAAAGTATAATACAAAAACAATCCCAAACGGGGCCTTATGATAAACCAATATGCTTAATGCACAAACTGAAAATGGTGATTAAGTAGATATACTCGTATACCTGGCTATTTAGCTGTAGAAAAAGAAAAATGGACATCTATAAATGTATACTAGGCGTATATTTATGCTATAAATATATACTACAAATTGCATGGCTACACAATTCTTAAACCGTACAAGAATGAGACGACCACTTTCAGCATTTTTCCTCGTGGGTATCTCAGATTGGTTCAAGAAATCCTGGAAAGGAGCATTTTGAGCTCAAATCCTCAAATGGGCGTCCACCAGATGCTATTTCTTTTCGGTTCTCATGATAATTAGTTTTACATATTTAAAAATATTTGAACTTTCATTATCATCCTCTATCATATCATGTGTGGTTACATTATAAATTTTTTCAGTTTTTCTTATGTGCTTTCCATTATGAACTTTTCAACTTCACCATTTTTCTCTCGTTTCTTTTCTTGCTATTAGTAGATTTAAGGAGAGAATATGCCTTCTTTGTGCTATATCCAATTACTTGAGGCTTTAAGCACAGGATCTACTTTTTACATTTTTGGTTATGCTCTTTATAATAAACACTGTTTCTTTTCTTTTTTGTTTTTGCCTCACATGATGAAGACCAGGACCTGACTTTTCTCTCAAGGGAAAATCTTGAAATGCTTTCCTTGTTTTATGAATGATCCATTACTATTGAGATGGGTCTTAAGTATGAATCACATGATACTTGAATTGGCGTGTAGTCCATCTAAAATGGAACTTTGTTGGAATTGACATGAATCACATGATAGATATAGCTGAATTTTTAGTTTCATAGCCATAAATTACTTACGTGTGATGATATTTTATTGACTTTTTCAGGCATATATATATATATATTTATTGTAGAATATGTTATGATGTCCAACGACTAAAACTAATTTCTTTTTGGGAGTTTTGGCGCGTATTGCTTTCTCATTCCACCTCTTTTAGATGTTGCCGTTAGGTTTGCTGTCCGCAATCTGTTATGTGTCTCATATACTATTGGATATCATTGTATTACCATTCCTCAATCTTATATGGGGGTTTGGAGAAGGTTTAGCTGCAAATCCTATGGCCAAAGACCGTACGGAGCCCGAAGGGAATGAGGAACTCTGTCCCTTCTCAGAACAGGAGAATGGAGATTGTACTGTGAGTATAACTGTTGTAGGAGCTTCTGGCGAGCTTGCCAAAAAGAAGATTTTTCCAGCACTCTTTTCCCTTTACTATGAAGATTTTCTACCTAAGGTTCTTGTTGGTGTCTCTTAATCATCGTGTTCCAATGAGATCCATATAAGTCCAATGTGTGTTTATTTCCATTGAAATGACTGACCATTTGAGCTTTTTTATGATTTTATTGGCCTATTAGCAGAACTTTGTTGTCTTCGGCTATGCTCGGACTAAAATGAGTGATGATGAATTAAGGAATATGATCAGAGAAACCTTGACTTGTAGAATTGATACTAGGTAAATCAGTTGGTTGATTCAACCTCATTATATTCTGCTCAGTTGAATAGATTGATAGATGCAAGGACTTGCAGGGAGAATTGTCAGGACATGAATCACAAGATGGATGAATTCTTGAAAAGATGCTTTTACCATTCTGGTCAGTATAATTCCGAGGAGCATTTTGTTGAATTGGACAGCAAGCTGAAAGAGAAGGAGGTATTGGTTTTAGACCCCTTGTTCTCTTGTGTGCTTCTGATCTATTTTGTTCAGTTTTAAGCATTGAACATGTTAATTTTCGAAAACATTACTGTACATTGGCAGCCAAATTATCTGCAACCAAAAAAAAATTATGCATACAGACATACATATATATATATACATATATATATATATGTACTATGTAAAGGATAAAAACAAGGGGTAATGGTTCAAATCTGAAACTTGGCAACTTAGGGATAACACAGCAAACACGACGGCTAGCTACTAAGGCAAATAAATCAGGAACCGTGAAAACATAATGACATGGCCTATTTCTTCTTTATTATACGAAAAATTCATCTCTGAAACTACGTGGTTATTTAAATTGTGCACTTCTTCAGGCTGGAAAAGTGGCACATAGGCTTTTTTACTTGTCAATACCTCCAAACATATTTATGGATGTTGTGAGATGTGCTAGTCTTAAAGCTCCTTCCATAAAGGGGCGGACAAGAGTCATTGTTGAAAAGCCTTTTGGTGTGGACTCAGAATCAGCTGGTAAGCTAACCAGAGGCTTAAAGCAATACCTTGCAGAAGACCAGATATACAGGTTTATTTTAACCTCTTTATACTTTCTGTGAATTATATTTTCTGTAAAAGGAATGTTTTCTGATATGAACAACAATTGTTCAGGATTGACCATTACTTGGGGAAGGAACTTGTTGAAAATCTGTTAGTGCTTCGCTTCTCAAATCTTGTTTTCGAGCCTCTCTGGTCCCGAAACTACATTCGCAATGTGCAACTTATATTTTCTGAAGATTCTGGTACTGAGGGGCATGGAAGGTCAGCTACTTCTTTGGTGATACTTTTATCAAGTATGATGCAGGGCGAAAAAATCATCTGACTGTAGTTTTAACTTTGTTTCCAGACATTTTGATAACTATGGCATCATTCGTGATAAAATGCAAAATCATCTTCTACAAATCCTAGCATTGTTTGCGATGGAAGCGCCACTCAGCTTAGATGCTGAAGATGTTAGGAATGAGAAGGTATTAAAAGTTTCCTTTCCCATACTGATCACTATCTACATTTCGTTGCAATATGCTATAGACTTCATTTCACTGCTATAACCTCTGATCATGAGTTGCCTTGGTTCAGGTAAAAGTTTTAAAATCAATGAGACCGCTGAAGCTTGAAGATGCTGTTGTTGGTCAATACAAGGGCCACAGCAAGGGTGATAAATCGTATCCTGCTTATACAGATGATCCAACCATTCCAAATGACAGTCTTACGCCAACATTTGCAGCTGTGGCTTTCTTCATTGATAATGCCAGATGGGATGGAGTTCCATTCCTAATGAAGGCTGGCAAGGCTCTACATACGAGGCGGTATGTTTAAGTGTTATTATTTCATCAGCTCGAGCCTTGTTTCTTTTGATTCTCCAACGTATTTTTGGAGATATAAATAACTAAGTTACATAAAATGTGATTGTCATTCAGAGCAGAGATCAGAGTACAGTTTAGGCATGTTCCAGGTAACTTGTACAAGCGGAAGCTTGGAACTGATTTAGACGAGACTACAAATGAACTTGTGCTTCGTGTACAACCTGATGAAGCTATATATCTGAACATCAACAATAAAGTTCCTGGTCTCGGAATGAAATTAGACCGCACTGACCTGAATTTGCTTTACCAAACAAGGTACAAGAACCTAAAGATAAAAACTTCATTGGCTTTAGGTAATGACCTTGTAACTAAGGAAAACCATCAAAAAAAAAAAAAAAATCTCTCGTTACTTACAGAATGTTCCAACTTTCATTTCTTTTCCTTTAGATAATAAAGTCAACTTTAAGCAAAACAAATACCACTTATGTACTCTCAAGAAAAAAAAAGGCATTACATATAAACTTGAGTTCCCTTGACACTGTAATCATGTTCTTAACTTTGTTTTTCCTATGCATTGTTCACTAACTGATACTCTGATCAAGTCCAAAAACACAATACACAGAATGTAGTGCAAAGAATATTTCTCCGCTTTATCTAATTAATGAAGATGTCATAACACTTTGGTTCTTGCGTGAAGGTATCCAAGAGAAAAAGCAGATGCATATGAGAGACTACTTTTAGATGCAATTGAAGGTGAAGGAAGGTCCTTCATCAGGAGTGATGAGCTTGATGCCGCTTGGGCACTAATCACGCCGCTGTTAAAGGAACTCGAAGAAAAGAAGGTTGTTCCCGAGCTCTACCCCTATGGCAGTCGAGGACCGGTGGGAGCGCATCATCTTGCTGCAAAGCATAACGTTAGATGGGGAGATCTTAGTGGTGATGACTCATGAGTTGAGCTTCATTCGACTAATGTGGCATGCTCATTGCACTGGCCTTTCAGCTGCTGATTTGATTAATTTTCAGATATATAGTCAATAATAATTGTGTTTCTCACATGATGAGATCCAAGCTTTGTATACAATATGTTCTAGAGTTGAAAAATAGTTAAAGTGAGCTGCAAAAATGGCATCATTGTTGAACTTAAAACGAACAATATTGCGCATGAAGAATTATTCTTGTCAATTAGTAGAAGTAATTGGAATGTAGGAAAACTATGAATAGGAGAAACCAAACTCTGCACCAACGAAAATGGTACTTGTATCCAAAAGTCGAAAAATGAAAGCTAAAACCATCTAAAACTATCTATTTCGTTTATTGATTTTGAAGCTCTACAGATCATACAAATAGATCAGTTGACAAAGCTGGTGAACTTCTCTTCTCTGAGTCCAAATTACTTGTTAGTGAGAAGTCAAATGGAGAAGTGCTTAAAGTAATTAATAAATTCCATACATGAATTATGAAAATCTTTACTGTAACCAAGTACTTCTACAAGTTACTTCTTTTTTTTTTTTTTTTCCCTTACCACGCTGAACTCATATTTAAGTTTAGGGAGGTATTCGTGCAATATTGATAGAATCAAGATCATCTGTTCCAAAATTTTGTATCAAAATGTGTCTAATTACTCAAACTTTAATAAGGAGTAATTTGATCTCTTTTTCAATTGTTTGTTTTTTCCGCTCTATTTTTGTTTTACTTTTCTTAAATTATGCATCTAGATATAAGTGGTCGGACACAATAATTTAGTAGGAGATTTTTGGACAAATGATTATTGGAACAATAATAGGCCCAACCAGTTTCCAAAAGGAGAAAAAAAAAATGAAAATGATACTACGTACAACGTTTTCAAAAATAATACAAAAAAATTCGGCATTTCCAAATAATTATTTTTCCGTACGATATTCAGTAACATTTTTCTAAAATTTTAGTTACTGGAGACCGAAAAACAAATATATTACTACATATCAATTTAGTTTGTTTTAACTAATAACCAGATCACATAGAAGCCAAATTGATTATCGAAACTAGAAAACAAAAGTTATTGAAAACTAAAGAAAAATGTTATTCAAAATTAATTTGGTTATTGCAAAACCAATTTGATTATTGTCCAACAGTACTCCTTTCTTGTAATGAATAAACAATGGAAGCATATTCTCAATCCAAGAAATTCAAGAATAAATGTTGTTAGTTTTTACCTGTATTGTAGAAAACATTTAAGAAATTCAGTGAAATATCTGAAAATTCTGGGATAAAGACAGGTTGTCTATAAACATATGTATTGAAGATTTGTCTTTATCTCTATCTGTAGCATTTTACGATCACAATAAATAACAGTGAAGTATCAAAATATTATTCACAGTGCAATAGTTTTATTATTATTTTTTTGGATATGTTGACTTGTTTGGTCCTAAATTATTGGAAATATCTTACTTTGGTCCCTTAACATTGAATTTTTGTCAATTTGGTCCTTAAACTATTAAACTCATTCGTTATTGGTTCTTTGTTGGGATTTTTTGTACATTTACTTAGGAATGACTAGTTATTTGACTATTTTTGGCCCAAAACTTCGTATATGACCAAACGTAAAAGTCTATTGCAAAATGTCCAACTTATTTAATGATAAAAATAGAAATACAACATATTTCATAACTGAAGTTTTAAAAGAAATAGACATTTAGCTATAACTTTTAAAATATAGACATCTACTTAAACCAATTTTTGGTCATCCGCCTAGTTTTATCATTTAGGAGGACAAAAATTAAATTTTTGGAAAAGAAAATTTGGGGTGTTGAAATATACTTTAGGGGAAAAAAATTTGGAAGAATTTTGGAGAAATATTGGAAAATATCGGCAAAATTTTGATAAAAATATCGATATCGAGAATTCATGGAGAAATTTGTTTAAACTTCCGAAAAATTTTGGAGAATTTTCGCGAACATTTTGATTCCGAAGAAAAAAAGACGAAAGTTAAATACTTTTAAGAATTTTTAAAATTATAATAAATTCATAATTGTTTACACATCTAATACATAATATATGGATATATTACAACATATATTTTCTAACTATAAATATTTTTTTGGTATAATAGCAAAATTATCCCCTAAGTTCTGATAAAATGTTCAATATATCCCATCAGTTTGTATAAATAATAAAAATATCTCCTCAGATTGGTAAATTACTACAAATTTTACCTTTTTATCTAATTAGGTCAAAATTGGAATACAAAAGACAAAATTACCCTCCCTCTAACCTTGTAACCAAGCACATATAACTGAAAGAAAAAATAACAAATAGTGGTAGATGAAAAACAAAAATTAGTAAGAACAAGAGGATATGGTGAATTATATGTCTTCTATAATTTTTTTCAAAGAAATGTTTTAATTTTAGCTAATTAATTGTGTTATAGGTAAGAGTATGTGGGTCATTTAAAAGAATTCTTAATTCACTTTAACCAAATTAGATAGAGGGTTAAATTTCGTGTTGATTTGTTAATCTGAGGGGATATTTTTGTTATTTGTAAAAACCAATGAGATATATTGAGTATTTTATCGAAATCTAAGGAATATTTGTATTATTATCTCTATTTTTTGAACTTTAGATATGTTTATTATCTATATGACTTGTTTTTAATTGTTCTAACTCTACTAGCTCTTTATATTTCTTTCGTCTTAATCGTACTTTTTTACTCAATTCATGTAATACAATTTATGTATTTCTAATAAGTGTAGTAATTTTTACTAGTTTTTAATTATCATGAACTTTCTTTTGATTGTTCTATGTTTTAAATAAAATTACCATTTATTTTCATGCTTTTCTGAAATTTCCGTCAATATCGATATTTTTGTAGATATTTCAGCCAACACTGATATTCTTGTCCGTGAATGGAAGGGATACGGTTATCGTCTGCTCTTAGCCTATCAACTGCACCTGCTTATTCCTCTCCAGTGACCTCTTCCTCATAATCATGCTCGTTGCCGTTGAGGAGCGCACCTCAAATATGAGCTTTCCGTCTCATACCAAGCAAAGCCACAGCAAAGCAAATTTGACCTGCTCCACCGATCTCCATCGACCACAGCTGCGAAAACGCCAGTCTTCAGGCCTCAGAGCATGTACTGTGCCATTTCTCCTTGTAAGCCCGGCTGAAGTTTTTCACATCTCCATCTTCTTGGACCCTGTTCTAAAAGCTCATGTTGGTTCATTACTAAGGTAAAGGTAAATTATCTTAGAACCCTTACCATAAGAGGCGTGTGTGTCTAACATGTCTCTTCTATTAATAATCTAACAGAAAATCCTAAAAGAACTAACGTGGAATGAATTTAATAGTTTAAGGACTAGATTGACAAAAATAAATATTTCAGACTAAAATCAGACTTTTCCATTCCAATAGTTGAGAGACCAAACATGTTAATTATCTTTTTTTTTTTTTTTTAATGTATACCAAACTACCAAATATGGCAATACCATTATCTTTTTTTTTTAAATGTATACCAAACTACCAAATATGGCAATACCTATGTCATATGTGGATTATATTTTAGAAGAGTCAAGTTATGTGGTCACATATATAAATATATCTATATATACATAAGGTTAGACTATAGTCTCACAAGTTATATATATTATATATGGTTGCCAATCTAATAGTTAGGTATTTTTTTTTAACCTATATATAGATATTTTTTTTAGCCGTTAAATTATTATCTAACGGTGATCCAACTGTTATAATGATGTGCACGAAAAAAAAAAAAATGCATCATTAATATGATTTCTTTATTATTTTTTACTACAAAAAGACGTGTATAATACATTTTAATTGGTCAAAACGATGCCTATATATAGATTAAGTACAAAAATATCTACTGAATTGATGCCTATATATATATAATTGTCAATTCAATAAGTATTTTTTTTTTTTTTACCAATACACATGTATAGTTAGAAAAAAAAATACCTACTTGGTGTCCTATATATATATGTTTTCCTTCTGTTTTTTTTTAACCCTCTCTATCCCCGGAAAAATGAGTCAAAATACGTAAGAGGTCGTCAAAATTCTTAGAGTAGGTCTTGGACCATCTGTGCATTCATGCCCTTTAAAAGATCTGTCACTAAGTACAGTGGTACATGCATGTGTTCATTGCCCTGTACCCTTAGCAAGGGTAAAAAAAAGAATTTATGTACGGACGATGAGGCCACCCGCCTTGCCATATCATTGCCCTTTTATTATTATTATTACTTTTTTTTTTTTTGCTTGGAAACTATTTGCTAAATATCACATCTTTTGTTTTAACGAAATATATTTTGTTCGTGCATGAAATCACATTCTAACCCCCCAAAAAATCTAAATGAAGATTGTTACCAACTTTTTTAGAACAAAAAGAACATACATAACCAATTTAAGACAATGAGTAGAAAGATTCGTTACCCCATCTCTAATGAATTCATGCTAAAAAAATGCGTCAATTCTAAATTTAACATACTCTATTAAATTTAATAAATATTTTTTATTATACTCCAATAAAAATAATATTTGTATTTAAATATTAGTATTATTTATAAAATGCGTTTTGATTCACCTAATTATATTTCATGGTAATATTATAAATTAAAATTCATGCTAAATTTTAGCATCTTTTATTCTTTGTGTTATATTTGAAATGAATAATAAAACATATTAAAATTTAGGGTTGATGGCACTATTGGTCCCCAACCTGTTCACACTTTGGCGCATTGGTCCTCAAATATTTTTTGTGGCATTTAAGTACTAAACGTTTCTTTTTTTGGCACTATTGGCATTTTTGACATATTTTATCTAAGATTCCGTTAAAATTTATTTGAATGAGAGAAATTTTGCACCATTGATCTCGATTTTTCAATTGTTTAACAATTTGGCTCCTAATTTTTTTTTAATATTCATATTTCCGATTAACAATATTGTATTTGCCAATCTTTC